CCCCCCCACCCCTCTTTCTCTGCCTCTTTCTCTCTCCCTCTGTCTCTCCGTCTCATTCTCTGCTGATCTCCATCAATCACTCTGTCCCTCACATTCGTGAAGCGGCCCTCGAAATATCGCTCTACATAGTCCCTATCGTGGGCCGTGCACAGGTCGTCCAGACTCGTCGTCGGTGACACGGCAAACGACACCGCCGGAATCCCGTTTTCGCGGCCCAGCAGCTCGCCTTGCAGACCCTGTCGACCGTACGGCGGAAGTAGCGCAGGAAGGTCTCAAGTCTTGTGTAAAATGTGATCAGCAGGCGAAGCGGCATGCTCCCCGGCAGAAGCAAAGTTTGTCGCTAGCCTGCGGTGTTCTGGGATACCTTGCGAGAAGAGGGAGCATATGTCTTGGTCACTGCTTGGTAGTATGTGGGACCCGATAGCACTACTAGGAGTTCTTTCAGGAGGGTATGCGGAGTCGAGCGGCATGTTGACTTCCCAGCGGGAATGCCCCAGCAGGTGACACAAGACACCGCAAACCCTGGACTGCCGGCGAAACAAGCTTGCCCACACTGCGAAGAAGACGCATACACGCGGTCCTTCTCGGCACCGCCACTCTGTATGCTGCGGAACAATCGAGGTTTGAAAAAGAGGTCCAGGTGGGTATGGTGTCTTATGTCACCTCCTCGGTATATGTCCAGACAAAGAATCTCACCTCGCGCACCAGGCGGTACTTTTCCATCGGGAAGCGATGACCATCCGGCAGGTCAACCCTGTAGACGTCGTTGTAGAACAGCGGGAGCTCGGGCCTCAGTCTTGAGTGCATCGACACCGGAGCTGCTGCTGTCGTAAGGCCAACCGGGGCAGCTCTAAAAGCGACAAGTCTGCCGTTTATCACTGCTATACTTCTCGCGGCCGCTTGCTGCCTTGCGCACGGCAGGAGCGAGATCATGTTTAGGATCGCGGGAGAGGATGGCCGCATGCAGTTGCCAATGTTATGGTTCGGTTTCTCGCACTTTGGGTGGCGTGGGTTGAAACCAATGCTCCCTAAACAGCACGCTTAACGTGCCACAACAACTAAAGAAGGCCTTCACTGCACAGCTTGCACTTAGTCTGGAGCTTGCTGGAGCTCTAGCGCTGCTGCTGTCGCTGGGCGAACATATCACATGCGGCGCAATTCCCAACGCCTACCCACGCGGGGCATCCATTTGTAATTCTGCGTCTCCCCTCCACGTTTTTTTTTTTCTGGTTTTTTGCCCCAAACCGCCTGTGCCTCGACGTTGGCAGCACAACGCAGGAAGACACGTTGTGTGTTCGCGCTTTTTACCGAAGGCGGTATCTTACCTGCTGCACTGCTCAGATGCGGCCGACGTTAGCTTGCGCTGCCGGCTTCGCTGCTGCTGCGGCTACATCATGCTCGGCTTTTTCGCTGAGTCATGTTTCCTCGGGTTCAGCGGCGGCCAGGGCGCGTGGGTCTGTCACAGCAGTATCACCACCTTTACCAGGCAAGCCACAGTCAGCGATGGTTAGGCATCATCACACACCGTGCTGTTTGCTTCGAGCCAGGCGTTGGGTGGGCGCATTTCGGTGTTCCTGGGGCAATGGTAGGATGCATGTGTCCTGCGTTGGTGTTGTAGTACGTGCCCCGCTTTTCGAGATTGCAACATCAAACCCCTTTTTGCGCCTCATGCGCGGCAACTTCGAGAGTACCTTCTTGCCGGTAGGTTCAACGGCGTCGTCGTCGCATGTCTCTCCGAATCGCGTCGCGGTTGTAATTGTTCAAGCGGTATAGTTCGTGGGCGTAGATGTGATGGGCGCGTGGCAGGAAGAAAGGTTATTGCCAAAAGGTTGTAGAGGCATAAAACAGCGCGTGTCCGGTGGCGTGAAACATGATCCAACCAGGATTGCAGAGTGAGTTTTTTCTCACTAAATATATCATTGTCTAGGATGAGCGACGCGCCGCAAAGCTCGTTGTTAGCAAACCATAATCTACTTCGTAAGTCGCGAGGGAAGGAATTGCTGTACCCTTCTCTCGATAAAAATATCTGAGGCAGGAACCGCAGGAGGGAGTCCAACCCCCCCGCCCTGTGTGACCCCGGTTGGGTCGTCTAGCTAGTAGAAGTGGGGGATAGGGACCAGAGGGGAAGACGACAGAGTCCAATGATGGGGAAAAAAAATAATGTAAATATATACGAAGTATATATATATATATGTAGCCGGGAACCGGGCCGAGACCGGGTAGGGGCTCTAGAGGTAGTCGAAGAACGGTTGCATGTAAAGCGGTAGCGGGTTCAAAGACGACAACGATGCAACTTTCAGCTTCGTACCGTAGGTGACATGACACAAGATACCCACCCTCTCTCAGGAATGTTATTCAAGCTCGATTACACCACCATGACGCGTAATAATGGTACGTTTTCTGGAAGGTCTCGACGAGACGGCTCCAACGCAGAAGCCATTTTTGACACTGCCGCTCTCTTCCTGGTGTGGAGCTTTGAAAGAGGATCCAAGGTGGGGTGGCATCTTACGTCACCTGCGGTAGGGGTGTGTGCTGGTAGTGGAAAGCCGACGCATTTCTGTATGCCAGGAGACGACGAATTTGAATGGAAATCCGCCGGCTTTCCACTACAGTCGACCCCGCTTTAGGGACGCACATGACTTTTCCCGAAAAAAAGCCTCCTAAAGCGGGGTTGCGTCCTTAAAATTCAGGGGACGATAGCTCCCAATCCCCGTGGCCAATGAAGGCATGCTATACCTCAAACTACGCGTCTTTTGCTAAGGAACGGTGTGGTATGAAGAGTCAGCATCGCCGAGACGACTGGCAACCGTCTGTTGACGTCGATCACATTTACAATTTAACAATGATATGTACAGCAGTCGGAGATGTGTTGAAAACACCTATCTACAGCCAGTACAGAAGTTTGTACTTTTCCAACCAATGTACTGCATAGCCGGCAGCGGAAGAAGGAGGAAAGTCCATGTAGAAACATATTTATCTCATTCTTGTGAAACAACAAACAACGAGCGTATTTCAGCGTCGCACCGAGGAACGCCAGTACACATAATAACTGTCCCGGCGCAGACCAAAACTACCCTTGGGCGACTTCTCCCTCCACATATCGCAAAGAGTTCCCTGAACCGCCACCCGCGGCTTGGCTCTACGGCTCTGTTGAGTTTCATGAGTATACGAATGAACGGTCTTCGAAAGAAGGTACTGCGTGTCACGGTACTCGCCGCCCCTTCCCTGGATCGAACGTCCTCCAAGCGAGAGATAACCTCGCCCTCGGTGAGGGACGAGGTTATGCACGACTTTTTTTTTTGGCGGCATCAGATGGACCGCCGGTAGATGGGAGAAATCTATCCATAGCAACACCCAGTTACAGTTGCAGCCGCAGACCGTTCGCTACTTCCTCTGTCTGTGCGTCGCTACTTCTGTACTCTCTGTGGTGCGTGGTGCATGCAAAGAGCGGCCCGCAGGACACAAAAAGGGGGGCTACGCGGCAGAAAAATGGGGGTACCCCATTATCGTACATTCTGCCGGGGCCCCTGGTGCTCAGCATAAAAGTTTCCCTAAAGCGAGGAGTTTCCTTCACCCGAGCGTCCTTAAAGCGGGTTCGACTTTACCAGCACACACCCTGCTTTGCGTCACCTAAGGTAGCGGGGTGCGCGCTGGTAGTGGAAAGTCGACGGCTTCCTCAATGCCAAGAGACAGAGGAGAATGCTGCATTTCCTGTCTCGCGGCCTAGAAGACGCCGTCGACTACTGTACCAGCACACAACCGCGCTAACCGTAGGTGACGTACGACATGACACCCATCCCTTGGACCCACTTTCAAAGCTCCACAACAGGAAGAGTGCCGTTGCCGGAAATGGCGGCGTATAGAACCGCCTCGTAGAGAGTGTCCACAAAACGTGCCAATACGCATCATGGTGGAGTAATCGAGAGCTCTGAATAACGTTCCTGAGAAAGTAATGCGGTATCTTCGACATGTGTCCCAGGGTCTCTCAACCCTCTCGGGCTCTCTCGCCCCTATGCCACTCGTTCGTGGTGCCTTGTCCGTCTGTCCTTTTGGGTAGGTGCTCCATGAACACTCAGCGGCGTACTCTACAGCAGCAGTAGTTGCCTCGGTTTGCTTTTCGCGGATGCGCCGTGGGTATCCAAAGCTGCCACCTCGTTTCCTCTGTTGCGCGATTGGGGCAGGTAAACTTTCTTTTTTTTTCGTACGAAAGCGCAACCGATCGATCTCTATCCACAGACAATTGAGTCCGATTTTTATGTGGCAATGATTTGATGGCGTTGGCGGACAGACTACCTGCATTTTTACGATTACCCGGGCAGCATCGGGCAATATCTCCCCAGAGGTGAAAGGCCTCAAGAAGACATTTTGGTGCCCTAAAAAAAACAACATAATGTATCGCAACGGAACCGGAACGCCTTCTCGTCGTTGTAAACAGGCGCCGAGTTCTTGTTCGCGCCTGGAATAAACATTTTGAACACGAATCGCATATCTACGAGCTCCAAAGCAAGAGTGCCGCGACGGCAATATGTATCTCATCTACCTTGCCGTGCAGTCATACAACGCCGATATGTTTTGCTTTTCTCCCTCGCCTTGTGGGCCACATAATAATTCGATGGTGCGTGCGACCAGCCCGGCTCCTTCAGCATACTTCCACCGTAGATTGCGTTAGATACCACACCCCCTGTGGAAGCTCGAATACTCCACGACCAAGAGGACACGAATCGATCCAGACTCTTTTTGGAAAGCTCTCATCGACGAGACGGTTCCCACACCGCCATTCCCGGCACCGCGACTCTACTACCGTAGGTTGTGTAAGACATCATACTTCCTGGACCGATTTTCAAAGCTCGATTACCCCACGACGAGGAGGATGCCGAAGTTGAAGTATGCGTTGCCTCTACTTTCGGCACCGTCACTGCCGAGATATCGAGCCTCGAAAATTGGTCCAGCGGGTGTGCTATCTTATGCAACCTACCGTAAGGCCTGCGGAGCAGTCCGGCTTTGAAAGTCGGGCAAAAGCTTGGTGTCTTATGTGACTTGCGGTTGATACAATTGCGTCGCGGACATGCAGCGGTTGCCGAAGGGAGCCAAGGTGTGCTACTGTAGACCATACTACCACGACAGTCGTGCCGATGGACAACAAACAAGCGCTTCTGTCCTAGTTTCTTGTGTTGAGAGTGTTGCGAGTGCAGCGACTTTCTTCACGGCCGTCGCCCTTTCCGGATGCCGTCCATCTGCAGCCCATATCTTGTCATGCTTTTTCGTAGATGTCATAGATCTAGCAAGGGGCACACGGCGGCGGAGCGGCTATTTCCCCTCCCGGGATACCGCTGTGTTCCTTCATCTCAGGTCCTTCATGCGATGCAATCTCAAGACATGTTTTTTTTAATTCCTTGTGTATCCTCCGTGCGCTTTATTTTGATGACCTTCTGTTGCCCGGCATCGCTCGTTTCACTTTTGGGTGGGTTCATGTCTGGTGCCGTCCGCACCAAGCAGCAACACACAATAGGGGGGCGCAGCGGAGTAGCGGTGCGCATTGGGCAGCAGGGGGGGAGGGGGGGGCGGGCACCGTAGGGCGAGCGGGTTGCTTCGCGTCCTCTTGGACCGCCTCACACCGCTGCGGACAGCAGCAGCGCAAAGCCGCAGTCGAACCTCGGTACCGATCGTCGTTGTCCCCGTTGCGGATGTCCGCCGGGGGGGGCGGAGGACGGGAAGAGGAGAGCGGGGTTTCGAGATGGGTGGAGGCCGGCAAGAAGTGGCTCGTCGGGGTCGCGCTAGCCAGCAGCATCGTGGGGGGGGGTGGCCTGCTGTCCCCTGGCGCGATGCCCGCGTTCGCGGGCTCCCCCGAGGAGACAAAGGAGGTCGGGCTTTGCCTGCTGTCCGAGTGCCGGGGGGCGCTAGCGTCGTGCCTTCTCAACCCTAAGTGAGTGTATTGCGGGTGCTGCTGCCGCTTCTGCTGCTGTTCTTGTTGTTGTTGCTGCTGCTTGAGCGGCTGCTGTTGTATTTGTTTGTGTTTCGGCTCCGGTACCGTTTGGTTGCGTGCGCTCCTGGTGGGTTTGTTCCTGCTTTCCTGTGTGTTTTTTCTTTCCAGTGGCTAAAAGGTGGTGATTTTGTGAGAGCCAGGGGTGGACAGCACGACCGCTCAGGAGAGCTTCCTAGTCGACTCTTGAAGTCTGTTGCTGCGGTTGTGATGGCTGTCGACACGTTGTTTTTGGAGACAACCTCGGCATTTTCCCTTCCGTCTGACATTTTACTCCGACGGGTTTTGTCGAGACACGTACGCTGTAGGATTCGTTGCGCTCGGACTTGTGGAAGTGGATGGGATGGGGGGTGTACACATAGTCATGCGTGCCGTTGTCGGTAGACCATTGCACCCCTACAAAGCCGGGACGGAGCACGCCGGTTTCGCACCGGACCAGGCTCTCACAGCACCAAGCGCGAAGCGCCGTGAGATAATCGGCGAGTCGCATGAAGGGTGCGNAGTTGTAAGCACTGTGTAACTGCCTCGAGGGTGCTTGACCATTTTAACTCAACGTGGTGCGATCATCCCCCTTGCGCGACGTGAGGGTTCTCCACCCCGCACAACATGATCTCCTCGACCACCATCATGGTTACCGCCAAAAAAAAAGAGTTACCAAAAAACAACGGTAACCTGGTTGCCGAGTTGACGAAGTGAATTGGGTTGTTGTACAACGTCGTTACCAAGCGACGATAACCCAATCCCGATGGCAAACACCGAGGGTGGGGGTGGGAGGGTCGTAAATCTGTCGCTCCATCATCTCGCTGAAGATCTGTGACGTTCCTTGCCTGGACGTGGGAAGAACGTGTCTATGAAGCAGCAGCAACATCGCTGAAGCATTGTTGATTCGTTTTTTTGTCCTCTCTCGTTTCGTTTGCAGATGATGATGATGAGACCTCTCGGAAACCTTGCCGCATCACGTTGTCATGGTCGTTTTTTAATTTATTCGTCGTCGTGGTATTTTCCACACCGTCATTCATTGTACCTCGTTCGTCGCCGTCATCAATTTACCTATTGCCGTTCCCCCACCCCCCTCGGTGTTTGCCATCGGGATTGGGTTTTCGTCTCTTGGCAGCGACGTTGTAAAACAAGCCAATTCACTTCGTCAACTCGGCAACCTGTTTTTTTTCTTTTTCACGTCTGTTTTTTTTTTGGCGGTAACCACAATGGTGGTCGAGTGGATCATGTTGTGCGGGGTGGAGAACCCTCACTCCGCGCAAGGGGGATGATCGCACCACGTTGTGTTAAAATGGTCAAGCACCCTCGAGGCAGTTACACAGGGCGTACAACTGTCTCTGGGAGTGAAAGCACCAGAAAATAAATTAAGTCATACGCAGCTGTCATCCGTACGCAAGGAAGTAAGCACAAGATGCCGAACACCCTTAGCAGGATGCAGCGCACCCTTCATGCGACTCGCCGAATATCTCACGGCGCTTCGCGCTTGGTGATGTGAGAGCCTGGTCCGGTGAGAACCCGGCGTGCTCCGTCCCGGCTTTGTAGGGATGCGAGGTCAATGGTCTAACGACTACGGCATGCACGACTATTAGAACCCCCCCCCCTAATTTCATCGTCATTAGTTGTACTTCTCTTCAATTTTCATCGTCAAGACTACGCCTATTTTCGTCGCCATCATTGCGCCTCTCTTGGCCTATTTTCGTCAAGTTGATGCTTGTTTTGATCATCATTGTACCTCTTTTCGTCGTCGTCATTGTGTCGGAGCGAAGGTGCTTCGCGAACATCATCTGCCTGCAGACATGCAACGGCCGGCCCGATGAGGGTTATTGCCAGATCCGCTGCGGTGACCTCTTCGAGAACGAAGCCGTCGGGAAGTTCAACGCGTGCGCTGTGTCCAAGAAGAACTGCGTCAAACAGCGACAGGTGTTGTCTTAACTTCTTGCGCTTATGTGTTTCGGGTGCCTTTTTTTGCTGTTTGGGGCAACCAGGGCCTTCGTCGCTGTCTTGCTTCTTGATGCTGGTGCTGTCAGAGCACCAGTGCATCGTTTCCCTAGTGCTGTGGCTGTGGCTGTCGTTGCCGTCCTCACGCCGCAAACGCATTCGGGTCTCAGCTCGGGTCTCAGCTCAGTACCTTCTACAATCCAGACCGACCCAGCTTGAGGGAACGCCTTCCGTGGTCACAGGCCAACAGTTTTAGACGTGGGCCATATGATCGATCGTACTAGTAGGACGAAACCACAAGAGCACAACTGTTCCACCGCGTAGACAAGAACATCATCCTCGTAGTACGTGGTGATGGGGTGGTTCTCTGCATTGTGGCACAAGGTTTGTGTGGGTTATTCCATTTTCTCATTTCCGTGATTTTTTAGGTGCACTTGTTTCTTGGGTGTCTTCCGTGTGACTCAGACGGAAATCCCGTTAGTTTCGGTTACACGGACGAGCACGGTTGGTTTGTGTGCAGGGGAGGTGTGCGGAGAGTTCTGCTGGAGCGCAGGACGGGATTTCCTCGAAAGAGGCTTCGACCATGACAGCAACGACAACAACAACGACAAACGACTACGACGGGACAGAAACAAGAGCATGGTCTTGTTGTACCTGCTGCTGCTTGCTGTTTGTTTGACGTGTTGCACGAGGACGGCAATGACGATCACAAGACCATGTCTTGGCGCCTGCCTGCTGCTGCTGCTGCTGCTGCTGCTGCTGCTGCTGCTTGGTGTTGTGTTCTATGCAGGACGACGGCTCCTGGCCGGTACCCCCTATCGAGTCGCAGGTCAAGTCTTTCAACCCCAAGCTGATGGAGGGGCAGTGGTACATCTCCGCCGGCCTTAACCCGGCCTTCGATACCTTCGACTGCCAGGTGCGGTGCCTGCCGACAGCAGTTAACTTGGTTACCCGACGGACTTCACTTTTTTTTTGTTCGTTGGTGCCTGTGTTTGTCGGGTTCGGTTTGCTCGTAGCATGGCACTCCTGTAATTGACACGTGCGACCCTGTCGAGAGTCAGCTGCCTTGCCCAACCTAGTTTTGTTGTTGTTTTTCATGCCGACGTCTTTTTTTCCCCGTGGTGGGCTGTGCAGCAACAAGCCTTTGGCTGATACTTACAGCACTTCTATGATGACACGTTCGATTGCCCGGTTCCTGTCGAGAGTCAATTATTATTTACCGAACTGGGTTTGAATATTTGGTGTAGACTGGTGTCTCTGGTCCTCTGATGAACTGCAATACAGCAACTTTTAGGGATGCTCATAGTACTCTGACTTGTTCAGTGTGGTGTCTCGATTGTAGTATTAGCTTCGTTTGTCTCAGCTCTCGCTCTGTGGACGATCGCAAGATTGTGTCCGTTGGTGTGTATGGTGACGTGCGTGGAATGGACATGAGATCTCAGGTTCCAATTTGTTGACGCTTTGTGGGGAAGCTTTGTTGTATCGTCACCGCCCTTTGCATCCTTTGTGGCGCCGGCTGTAATATCCGTCGATGACGGTGCACCGAAAGTTATGTAGACCGGTGCCTGAGTAGATCGGACGAACACAAACGCGCACCGCTGCTTCTGTTTGTCTTATTTTGTCCGGAGAGTAGTTTATCGTCCCCCATGACGCCCCCTCACGGGGACCTAGATCCTGGCATTTGGAAACATTTTCTGTCCTCAACCGCGCTGAGGCTGACGTCCTTTCAATGGCCAGCGAATTCGCGCTGTCGATGCTAGTAAAAAGAACACTCACACAGCGGGGGTCGAAAACATCAAGTTTAAATGAAAACATCAACATTTGGTGAGTACAGTTATTGTCGTGACGATACGCCTGTCTAACTGCAGAGGTAGAAACACATTCCGAGATCAAACTCTTTTTGACGTATTGCTGCGCCTGTCTATTGAGAGCAGAGGTCGACAACATAAACTGGGATCAAATCCACCTTGTGTCGTAACCAACGCACCTGTGTCTCAACAGCCACCATGTCCTGCGGTTGTACCCATATCCCGCACGCGCAGGTGCACTTCTTCAACAGCCCAAAGCCCGGCAAGCTTGTAGGCAAGCTCAACTGGCGCATCAAGGAGCCCGACGGCGAGTTCTTCACGAGGGACGTGGTGCAGACGTTCGACCAGGACCCCAAAAACCCGGCACACCTGGTCAACAAGGATAACGAGTACCTCCACTACCGGGGTGAGGGCTAAGTCGTTTTGCAGTACACCCAAACCCTCTCTTGCTTGCATGCTTGTCCAGTGCGACATGCACCGCTCAACCTGGACATCTAGAAGGCCGGGGCGAGAGCTAAACCAACCCTCTCGCGCTTGCATTTTTGTCCAGTGCGACATGCACCGCTCAACCTGGACATCTAGAAGGCCGGGGCGAGAGCTAAACCAACCCTCTCGCGCTTGCATGTTTGTCCAGTGCGAAAATTGCCACTACAGTACTGCAGAACCTGGGAGCTCCGGCTCAAGGAGATCGGAATTGGAGCACTGGGCCGCAAGACCGGTGCTCCGTTGCGAACCCTAACCTTCATGTCCCCTGTTGAATTTACGCACAGAAATGAAAGCAAGCGAACCTTGGACGAAAGTGTGTGTGTCAAGCCCTGCCTGGCTGCTTGCAACTTTTCGCCCGCGGGTTGGGCACATATGGAAGTGACTGATTGGCTTTCTCGAGGTTCTTTGCTCGGCAGACAACAACGTGTCGCTCGTTACTTTTCGCTGCACCCCCTTTTGTCCAAACCCTGTCGTCTACTGTGGGCTACTGACACGTCGTCGACTTGGAGCCGGACTCCCACCTCCGATAGGTTGCCATTGCTGCTGCATCCTGCCATTGCACATGTACCCCATGTTCGCCAATGCTCGATTTTGTTTTTTCGCTTCTTGTGCAGACGACTGGAATTGCCCTCGAACTGCTGCTGTACTGTATTCCGACGGTGCATGCGCACCCCATTTCGTTCTTTTTCTTTTTTCAGCTTTCTGCGTAGACAATTGGTATATCCTCGACTCGGAGCCGATTTGCTGCTGACTCCCGCCGGTTCATGCGTACCCCATTTCGTCCACTCCCTCTTTTGTGTTTCCCCTTCTTGTACAGACGACTAGTAATAGTAATTCTTGAACTGCTGCTGTATATCGGCGGTTCACATGTACTCCATTTTGTCCATCCTGTTATTTTTTTTTTGTTCCATCTAGTTGTGCAGACGACTAGTACTCCTCGCCCTGCTGCTGTATCCCGGCGGTTCATGTATACCTCATTTCGTCCATCCTTTTCTTTTTCTTGTGCAGACGACTGGTATATCCTCGATTCAGAACCGAACTCCCACGTTCTGGTGGTGTACCGGGGCAGCAACGACGCGTGGGACGGGTATGGCGGCGGCACGCTCTACACCAAGGTGAGTTGTTGTTGTTGATATTGCCTTCTGATTATCAACCGTTCCGTTCTCTACCCCGTACCTTCTTCTGCCCGTACTAGTCTCATCACTTGACGGGGTCGATTCCCGTGGTCACAGACTAACTTACCCATAAGGACTACATGAAATGGGTCCGAAGGGTGCGCCAGTCAATAAAAAGATAAATCAACGGCAGATAGGAAGTCGAGAAGGTGTGAGTGGCGTTGGCTTTTAAAGTTGTTTCGGTTGCAAGAGGCGGGGACAGGATGGAGAGGGCAGTGGTAGTTGTTTTGGCCACAGATGTGGGGCGAGATGACGCTGGAGGGTGGTCAGTGGTGTTGGCTGGGGTTGTTCACGTTGACGTAGGTGGGGCGGGGTAGAGAGGTCAGTGGTAGCTGTTTTGTTGATGGAAGTGGGGCGAGATGCGGGAGGTGACTGGTGATGGGCTGAATTGTCCCTGTGGAAGAGCAGAGGCAGGGCGGGATCCGGGAGGGAGTTCAGTGGTGTTGGCTGGGATTGTTCACGTTGACATAGGTGGGGGTTAAGTACTCGTGGTCGAGAGTGCGGACGGGTCTCATGTGCCGGCGTACTAGTCTTTGATAACGAGCGAGAGGTGATTTGGTCGTCATATACACCGGTACGCGCCGGCACCCAATGATTATCACCATCACCACCTAGTGCAACTGCACCTAAATCTTGATATTGAGTCGGGTGCAAATTTTTTGTGAATGCGTGTGAACCTTGAACCCTCCCCCCATGTTCTCAGCTGCCATGTTCTCAAGCGCCGGCGCTCATTGTACCTGTACGGCAAACCTGAAGGCTAAACCTTTCGCCGAGGTTTGTCGGGGTCGATGGCGTACGGCGTCGTCGTCCCAGTGGCGACGGCACCACTGCTGTTGTGTTTGTGTCTAGCTGCCGAGGCGGATGTTCGGGCCGAAAACGAAGCGAGCGCGGGAGCTCCAACAGAAGCGCGACAGACGAACAAGCTGCCTTCGCCGCTGTCTGTGCTTGTCCTGGCTTGTTTCCTGCCGTTTACCTACCCATATGCCACTAGCTGCTGCTTAGAAATATAAGGATCACTGATATATGCACATTGGTGTCTGAATGATCCTAATAATAGTTTTTTTTTTGTTAAAAAGTGTGGCCCGTTAGGGGTACGCTTTTTGTTTTGTTGTTTTGCAAAAAAAAAGCTGTTTAGAGGGATCGTGGGTGGAGTATGTGCGCACGAGAAAAAGAATAATTTTCATGCCTAGGGGCGTGAAAATTACTCCATGGCTGTCTGTCCGGTGTCTGGTGTCTGGTGTCTGGTGTCTGTCTGGTGTCTGGTGTCTGGTGTCTGTCTGCGCGCCTTAAATACACAGCAGACTCGAGCCCATTTCACCATCTCGGCACCAAATTGCAAACTAAAACTTGCGCACAACAAGTAACATTTTGCCCGAGCTGTCCCAACCGCTACCTTTGCAATCCGTGGTCGGTGTCTCGAGATAGCACACCGTTTGTGCAAATATATATGTC